GTGCCTTCGATTCAGTTGATCGATCGATTCTGTTCGAAATACTGGCGCGGAAAGATGTCCCCAGGAAATGCGTGAACATCCTTCGTGCTATGTACGCCAACAGTACAGGCCGCGTCAGTGTCTACGGTGGCCTATCGGATAGCTTTCCGACCACAAGTGGCGTTCGTCAGGATTGTCCGATTTCCCCATTTTTGTTCAATTTCGTCGTGGATTCTATCATGGAGTGTTTCTTTGCGGAATCTCACGATGTACGCGTTGAAGTACTGCCTCGTGAAAAGATAGTTGATCGCTATTATGCGCACGATATCGTCTTGCTTTTCGACGATGTTGGGGCGGCACAATCAACAATGAATGGCCTGTCCAGAGTGTTCTCATTATTTGGTATGCACTTCGCATCTTCAAAGTGCAAAGTGTTGCTGCAGGACCACCAGCCACTTAATGACCACTTGACGCTTGCTAACGAGGAACTCCAGGTGGTTGATCATTTCACTTATCTTGGCAGCTGCATCAGCAATGATGGGCGCACAGAAACTGATGTTAGCTCACGCATTGCAAAAGCCTGAGCTACCTTCTTGAACCTGCGGCATCTTTGGCGACAGAAGGGAGTTTCCTTCCGTCTGAAAGGCCGGGTATACAAGGTCAAGTTGAGGGCGGTTCTGCTCTATGGTATTGAGACTTGCCCCCTTCGGTCTGAAAATCTGAGGCGCCTTCAAGTCTTTGATCATCTTTGTCTGCGAAGCAGAGCTGGAGTCGGATGGCACCAACGTGTCCGCAACCATGATGTGCGTAGGCGAGTACTAGGTAGCGATAACCATGTTAGCTCCCTAGAGCAACTGATAGTACTGAATAAGTTGCATTGGCTCGGGCACGTGCTAAGTATGCCGGGTCCCCGGTTACCTAGGAGGGTCTTGTTTAGTCTGCCAGGTGTAGGGTGGCGCAAGGCTCGAGGTGGACAGAAGTTGACTTGGCAGCGGGAAATGAAGTTATTAACGACCAAACTGGGTGCCGTTGATCTGTCTCGCCTTCCGGGCTGGAGCCCACGTGACTCGCCTTCTGCTTGGCTCGAGACTTTAGAGGACATGGCTCGCAACCGACACCAGTGGCGCGTCTGCTGCCGTCTCCTAATCGGATTGCTTGTTTAAAGTGTGTTTGGCGCTGAGTTATCTGCGGAGTAATAGCTGATTATGACGCGTGGTAGTGAAAGCCGCAAGGAAGCTGTCTCGCCAATGCCGCCTTATTATTGCACGACGGTATGTTGTCTACATAAGGTGTAGGCGCCTTTACCCTGAAAGTTTGCTTAGGGCATTAAGGTTTTCAAGTAAATCCCCCTTCTCTCCCTCTTCTGATTCTTTATTTCATAGGTCCTCATGTTTGTATGACAGCGAAGCATCAGTTCAAATTGTTGACGTACTGCTGTTGATGATGACGATGATGGTGGTGAAGATGATGATACAAGTGCAGATATCAGTCCGAATTTTTTGATTTTATCTGATGTTATGCTTTTCGGGAGCGTTTTGTTGTACCAGCAACGCTGACTGCTTCTATTTTGACAGTAGGGCATACTACGATGTATAATGCTTTTAGCTTATGGATAACACAACGGACACGCATGTTGTTGGTCCTTTGGAGTATCGGATGTACCGTGTGGTCTCTAATTGGCAGAAGCTACGAACGCATGATTAGAAGCGGTGCCTTACACCGAGGTGGCAGTAACCGAAATCAGGATGTTTAACTGTGGATCAGTATTCTTACGGTCAGGCTGGTTGCTCTGTTCTGAATGGGAGTTTAAAGCTCGGCAACGGGTTTGAGGCACTGAAACATCTGGGTAAAGTGAAGCAGTCCCTACTGCGGCTGCACACTCTAGCATCTCTGCCAGTCTGTAGCGAAGCTGTACAGACATAGCTACAGATTTGATGATTAGAACAGTTTTACACTCGTTTAGGACAAAACGCTTTTGACATCTTGCTTAGTGGTAGGTGAGCGTATTTAAGACGGAATTGTTTCCAACTGCTGGAATTGCTAATCCAAGCTGTACACCCATAACCCCGCCTTTTCCGCCACAATTAACTTTCGGTTATGACACCTCAGGCTTAGCTATCGTGGCCGTTTTGGTCGTAACTTTATTGGGGTTTTGTGGATGACGTTATCCACGTGGCCTATCCGATGAATTCATCGCAAACCTTGTCGATCATGTTGGGAATGAAGCGTAACTACACTAGTGGAGTGAGCATGGACTCGAGTTGACCCGACACTGTTGTACACAAATCCGGTGAAACACGCAGGTAGGCTAAAGTAAGTGGCGGACAGAATCTTGGACGCACGCACAGACGGCTAAGCTGTTCTGAGAATTTCGTGGATGGCCCACTCAGGTTTGTGGTATTGCAAGGGTGGCAGTAAAGACCGGCACGTATCGTTTGCACTGTGTACAATCAAGTATGATATTATCAGGTCGCCTCGTAAACGGCGATACGGTCCGCTGAACAATCCAAAAGGTTCCAGCAGTTGCTTTTATAGTAGCTTGCTCATTCCAATAATATATTTGGATGCCCGATGTTGAGGCTACCCCCGGTGCATTAAGGTCGTGATTCGGCCATGCTTGCCAGGCTTGAATTGCGTATCCCACATAGAGCAACCATAACCACTGAGCATCTGTCAGAAAAAGTGTGATGTCTATTTGTTCGAGCGACAGTCGAAATAGCCCAACGTTTTGGTTACCAGTTTTCGATGCCTGTTCCGATTATCCGGAACAACCCAAGTCATCTTGAACCAGAATATTTAAGCTGCCTTCGAAGGATGATCGCTGCAGTACTTACCTTCCTACCCTGTAGCAATATGCACTCTGGTGGAGTATGAAAAGTCCCTGCATTTGCTCACTTCGAACCGTAACAGATTTTGGGTTGACCACCTATGTACCATATCTAGGTCGCATTTAAGCAACCTCTGATCGGATTCCGCATGACTCCTGCGCTGTATTTTCATGTCGTCGACAAACTATAGAAAACTTTGAGGCGATTGTCGGGGCAAGGTTACTACTAACCAATGAAAAGTTTCTTGGACCTTGAACTGATCGCAACGGCACACCAAAATTGTATCGTGGGGTCAAGTATGATGTTACGGACTCTGACCTTTACTTGTCGTTGAAGGAGGAAGGTGATGACTCAGTTTAAGAGAGGATGATCAGTATCATGATATTTTAGCTTGGTAAGGAGAGCCCGATTAGTTTAGTTAAGCGCTATGGAAACAGATGCGAAGCTATCAACTGCATAACTGACTGCGACTACTTCTCAGTGCATCAAACAGATGATACATACTTCATCTGTAAAAAGGGATAACGGTATGAAAGGGTACCCTGAAAGTAAGGTATTTCACGTGTGAGCTGCGGCCACAACTACCCTAACATTAGCAAAAGAATGCGGTAATGAAGTGTGGGGATACTGTAGGACTAGTACATACTAGTCCGAGACGGTACACGAAAACAAGAGTGGATATCAGAAGGCAATTGGAGTCGGACACAGCGGACTGTATTTGATGGGCTACAAGAAGATGCGGACGGATGAAGCGAAACCAGAGCAAACATGTTAGCGCGGGAACTTACAAGGCGGTCAAGTGTTAAGCCAGATGTAGGTCAATATGGGCGTAATGTATGGGATATTGAAGCAAGACAGAATAGTATACAATTGGTCATCAGCAAAACTGTACACAAAAGAGGATAGTTACTTTTTGGGGCGCTACAGAGCTTCCCCTAGACGGCTGAACGAAGGACACCTTGGAAGTGGAATATGACGGGTGAATCAAAGTTGGATGAACGAAATCGTGCCGAGTGTTTGGGCGTTCTGGTGTAATGGAGTTTCGCCCCGGAAGTCGGAGTGCGCTGCGCCGTTTGTGATCTATTATTTATTGATTGCAGGGCAGGGTGCATTTAAACGAGCTGTTGGGGTGGGCTTGTCGGACTACAAAATCAGGCTAGCCCAGAAAAAGTTCGACAGGACCTCAACCTCCGTTGCTACCAAGCTGTGCGCTTGGGAGTGGTCTCTCCCCACGCCCCACCCCGCCCCGCGCCAAAACGATCCTCGTCCCAGGGAGAAACGACCATGGTCTCACGAAGAAGCGACTTACGTCCCGCGGAGGAAGGTCCAGCGCTCGTGTCAGAATCCTCGTTGACTGCGCCGATTCTCGAAAACATTGCTCTTGTGGGTCAGTCGATCGAATAGGAGGATTAAAGCGTGCAGAGACGAGAAAATAGAAAAGCACGCGCATAAAGCGTCAGAGAGAACGAACGAATGATCTGCGTGTTTAAATATTTTGGTTGTTGAATATTTTTTAGAAAGAGGTTTGGCGGGAGTTTTTAAAATTTTTGTTTTCAGAACGTTAAGCGACCAAAAATGTGGCAAATGTCTACATTAGCTACGATCTTAAACGTATTTACACAGCACATAGTCGGAAAAGCGAATGGACTTACGCACCTATCCGCCACAGCTATTGGTTGTGGAAGGCGGCGGACTAGATTCGGGAGAAGTCCGGACGGCTGATACACGTAGACCGGGATCGTGGTCTGGTTGAACTACACTAGGATTCTGACACTTGGTGCCGTGAGTTGTGAAATCGCACGAAGTACTACCAGACGACGCAGGCGAGGTGATTACTTCCATAAAGGCAGGCTTCAGACGGTCGATGGTGACGTCTTCGTGTCGGCCACCGCCGTCAGTAGTGCACGTCTCATTAGTACCGTGTCGCACATTGAAAGGTACTATGAACGGCGACTGAAGAGGGTGTCGAACACCGTCTGTGAACTGTTAGAGAGCTTCTCGGGCACATACACTGGTGAGGGTATGAGGGTGCTTTCCGAGATGGCTGATTTGGCTGTAAACGTTTCATCAACAGGCTGGAATACATCATCAGTGCGATATATGCGGGCCACTTACATGCAGTGGTGTCTTTTGTGATCGAGGAGCGGATGGCCGCGGCGCACACATCTGGTGAGCTAATCGATCGGTGTAACATCAGTCGTCAAAAATGGAAGTAGAGTGGGGTGATGCTACCAGCTGTCCATCATCATCATCATCATCATCATCATCATCATCATCATCATCATCATCATCATCATCATCATCATCATCATCATCATCATCATCATCATCATCATCATCATCATCATCATCATCATCATCATCATCATCATCATCATCATCATCATCATCATCATCATCATCATCATCATCATCATCATCATCATCATCATCATCATCATCATCATCATCATCATCATCATCATCATCATCATCATCATCATCATCATCATCATCATCATCATCATCATCAGCATCATCATCATCATCATCATCATCATCATCATCATCATCATCATCATCATCACCACCACCACCACCACCACCACCATCATCATCCGCATCATCATCATCATCATCATCATCATCATCATCATCATCATCATCATCATCATCATCATCATCATCATCATCATCATCATCATCATCATCATCATCATCATCATCATCATCATCATCATCATCATCATCATCATCATCATCATCATCATCATCATCATCATCATCATCATCATCATCATCATCATCATCATCATCATCATCATCATCATCATCATCATCATCATCATCATCATCATCATCATCATCATCATCATCATCATCATCATCATCATCATCAGTCATCATCATCATCATCATCATCATCATCATCATCATCATCATCATCATCATCATCATCATCATCATCATCATCATCATCATCATCATCATCATCATCATCATCATCATCATCATCATCATCATCATCATCATCATCATCATCATCATCATCATCATCATCATCATCATCATCATCATCATCATCATCATCTTCATCAGCATCATCATCATCATCATCATCATCATCATCATCATCATCATCATCAGCAGCTTCAGCAGCAGCATCATGATCAGCATCTCGAGTCATGCATTCCAGCAGCATTCAGCAGCAGCTCATCAGATCTGCATTTCAGCATCATCAGCTCCCAGCAGCATCATGCACATGCGCAGGCAGCAGCCATTCAGCATCAGCATGCAAGCACCAGCATTCACATCCGCAAATTGCCCTCCATTACGCCACCCCCCCCCCCACACCAGACCTAAAATATCCTCAGCCTGCAGAACCCTGACGCCCCACCCCCGCATCGATATAGCTCCCCTTAATTGATGTTTGCGCCACGGCCATCCGCTCCTCGATCACAAAAGACACCACTGCATGTAAGTGGCCCGCATATATCGCGCTGATGATGTATTCTAGCCTGTTGATGAAACGTTTACAGCCAAATCAGCCATCTCGGAAAGCACCCTCATACCCTCACCAGTGTATGTGCCCGAGAAGCTCTCTAACAGTTCACAGACGGTGTTCGACACCCTCTTCAGTCGCCGTTCATAGTACCTTTCAATGTGCGACACGGTACTAATGAGACGTGCACTACTGACGGCGGTGGCCGACACGAAGACGTCACCATCGACCGTCTGAAGCCTGCCTTTATGGAAGTAATCACCTCGCCTGCGTCGTCTGGTAGTACTTCGTGCGATTTCACAACTCACGGCACCAAGTGTCAGAATCCTAGTGTAGTTCAACCAGACCACGATCTCGGTCTACGTGTATCAGCCGTCCGGACTTCTCCCGAATCTAGTCCGCCGCCTTCCACAACCAATAGCTGTGGCGGATAGGTGCGTAAGTCCATTCGCTTTTCCGACTATGTGCTGTGTAAATACGTTTAAGATCGTAGCTAATGTAGACATTTGCCACATTTTTGGTCGCTTTAACGTTCTGAAAAACAAAAATTTTAAACAAACTGCCGCCCTGCCAAACCTCTTTCTAAAAAATATTAAACAACCAAAATATTTAAAACACGCAGATCATTCGTTCGTTCTCTCTGACGCTTTAATGCGCGTGCTTTTCTATTTTCTCGTCTCTGCACGCTTTAATCCTCCTATTCGATCGACTGACCCACAAGAGCAATGTTTTCGAGAATCGGCGCAGTCAACGAGGATTCTGACACGAGCGCTGGACCTTCCTCCGCGGGACGTAAGTCGCTTCTTCGTGAGACCATGGTCGTTTCTCCCTGGGACGAGGATCGTTTTGGCGCGGGGCGGGGTGGGGCGTGGGGAGAGACCACTCCCAAGCGCACAGCTTGGTAGCAACGGAGGTTGAGGTCCTGTCGAACTTTTTCTGGGCTAGCCTGATTTTGTAGTCCGACAAGCCCACCCCAACAGCTCGTTTAAATGCACCCTGCCCTGCAATCAATAAATAATAGATCACAAACGGCGCAGCGCACTCCGACTTCCGGGGCGAAACTCCATTTCACCAGAACGCCCAAACACTCGGCACGATTTCGTTCATCCAACTTTGATTCACCCGTCATATTCCACTTCCAAGGTGTCCTTCGTTCAGCCGTCTAGGGGAAGCTCTGTAGCGCCCCAAAAAGTAACTATCCTCTTTTGTGTTCAGTTTCGCTGATGACCAATTGTATACTATTCTGTCTTGTTTCAATATCCCATACATTACGCCCATATTGACCTACATCTGGCTTAACACTTGACCGCCTTGTAAGTTCCCGGGCTAACATGTTTGCTCTGGTTTCGCTTCATCCGTCCGCATCTTCTTGTAGCCCATCAAATACAGTCCGCTGTGTCTGACTCCAACTGCCTTCTGATATCCACTCTTGTTTTCGTGCACCGTCTCGGACTAGTATTTACTAGTCCTACAGTATCCCCACACTTCATTACCGCATTCTTTTGCTAATGTTAGGGTAGTTGTGGCCGCAGCTCACACGTGAAATACCTTACTTTCAGGGTACCCTTTCATACCGTTATCCCTTTTTACAGATGAAGTATGTATCATCTGTTTGATGCACTGAGAAGTAGTCGCAGTCAGTTATGCAGTTGATAGCTTCGCATCTGTTTCCATAGCGCTTAACTAAACTAATCGGGCTCTCCTTACCAAGCTAAAATATCATGATACTGATCATCCTCTCTTAAACTGAGTCATCACCTTCCTCCTTCAACGACAAGTAAAGGTCAGAGTCCGTAACATCATACTTGACCCCACGATACAATTTTGGTGTGCCGTTGCGATCAGTTCAAGGTCCAAGAAACTTTTCATTGGTTAGTAGTAACCTTGCCCCGACAATCGCCTCAAAGTTTTCTATAGTTTGTCGACGACATGAAAATACAGCGCAGGAGTCATGCGGAATCCGATCAGAGGTTGCTTAAATGCGACCTAGATATGGTACATAGGTGGTCAACCCAAAATCTGTTACGGTTCGAAGTGAGCAAATGCAGGGACTTTTCATACTCCACCAGAGTGCATATTGCTACAGGGTAGGAAGGTAAGTACTGCAGCGATCATCCTTCGAAGGCAGCTTAAATATTCTGGTTCAAGATGACTTGGGTTGTTCCGGATAATCGGAACAGGCATCGAAAACTGGTAACCAAAACGTTGGGCTATTTCGACTGTCGCTCGAACAAATAGACATCACACTTTTCTGACAGATGCTCAGTGGTTATGGTTGCTCTATGTGGGATACGCAATTCAAGCCTGGCAAGCATGGCCGAATCACGACCTTAATGCACCGGGGTAGCCTCAACATCGGGCATCCAAATATATTATTGGAATGAGCAAGCTACTATAAAAGCAACTGCTGGAACCTTTTGGATTGTTCAGCGGACCGTATCGCCGTTTACGAGGCGACCTGATAATATCATACTTGATTGTACACAGTGCAAACGATACGTGCCGGTCTTTACTGCCACCTTGCAATACCACAAACCTGAGTGGGCCATCCACGAAATTCTCAGAACAGCTTAGCCGTCTGTGCGTGCGTCCAAGATTCTGTCCGCCACTTACTTTAGCCTACCTGCGTGTTTCACCGGATTTGTGTACAACAGTGTCGGGTCAACTCGAGTCCATGCTCACTCCACTAGTGTAGTTACGCTTCATTCCCAACATGATCGACAAGGTTTGCGATGAATTCATCGGATAGGCCACGTGGATAACGTCATCCACAAAACCCCATAAAGTTACGACCATAAAGACGGCCACGATAGCTAAGCCTGAGGTGTCATAACCGAAAGTTAATTGTGGCGGAAAAGGCGGGGTTATGGGTGTACAGCTTGGATTAGCAATTCCAGCAGTTGGAAACAATTCCGTCTTAAATACGCTCACCTACCACTAAGCAAGATGTCAAAAGCGTTTTGTCCTAAACGAGTGTAAAACTGTTCTAATCATCAAATCTGTAGCTATGTCTGTACAGCTTCGCTACAGACTGGCAGAGATGCTAGAGTGTGCAGCCGCAGTAGGGACTGCTTCACTTTACCCAGATGTTTCAGTGCCTCAAACCCGTTGCCGAGCTTTAAACTCCCATTCAGAACAGAGCAACCAGCCTGACCGTAAGAATACTGATCCACAGTTAAACATCCTGATTTCGGTTACTGCCACCTCGGTGTAAGGCACCGCTTCTAATCATGCGTTCGTAGCTTCTGCCAATTAGAGACCACACGGTACATCCGATACTCCAAAGGACCAACAACATGCGTGTCCGTTGTGTTATCCATAAGCTAAAAGCATTATACATCGTAGTATGCCCTACTGTCAAAATAGAAGCAGTCAGCGTTGCTGGTACAACAAAACGCTCCCGAAAAGCATAACATCAGATAAAATCAAAAAATTCGGACTGATATCTGCACTTGTATCATCATCTTCACCACCATCATCATCATCATCAACAGCAGTACATCAGCCATTTGAACTGATGCTTCGCTGTCATACAAACATGAGGACCTATGAAATAAAGAATCAGAAGAGGGAGAGAAGGGGGACTTACCTGAAAACCTTAATGCCCTAAGCAAACATTCAGGGTCAAGGCGCCTACACCTTGTGTAGACAACATACCGTCACAAACAGCTGGCTATCGTGCAAAGATAAGGCGGCATCGGCGAGACAGCTTCCTTGCGGCTTTCACTGCCACGCGTCATAATCAGCCATTACCCCGCAGATAACTCAGCACCAAACACACTTTAAACAAGCAATCCGATTAGGAGACGGCAGCAGACGCGCCACTGGTGTCGGTTGCGAGCCATGTCCTGCAAAGTCTCGAGCCAAGCACAAGGCGAGTCACGTGGACTCCAGCCCGGAAGGCGAGACGGACCAACGGAACCCAGTTTGGTCGTCAGTGACTTCATTTCCCGCTGCCAAGTCAACTTCTGTCCACCTCGAGCCTTGCGCCACCCTACACCTGGCAGACTAAACAAGGCCCTCCTAGGTAAGCGGTGACCAGGCATACGTAGCACGTGCCCGAGCCAACGCAACTTATTCAGTGCTATCTGTTGTTCTAGGGAGCTAGCATGATTATCACCACCTAGTACTCGCCTACGCACATCATCGTTGCGGACACGCTGGTGCCATCCGACACCAGCAATGCCTTCGCAAACAACGATGATCAAAGACTTGAAGGCGCCTCAGATCTTCAGACCGAAGGGGGCCAAGTCTCACTACCATAGAGCAGAACCGGCCCTCACTGTGGCCTTGTATACACGGCCTTTCAGACGGAGGGAAACTCCCTTCTGTCGCCAAAGATGACGCAGGTTCAAGAAGGCAGCTCTGGCCTTTGCAATGCGTGAGCTAACGTCAGTTTCTA